GAGCCTGGCCTTTAATTCAGGAAAACCAAAAAGAGCACCGCTCCTGTATGTCTGTAGCTGGATCGGTCTTGTTCCGGTTGTCACTTGTCCCACAATACCAAGAAATACATGCGGACGACAGTTGTCCTTCCGTTTGTTCTAAAAAAAATTTATGCATGGGGTAGCCTGAGAGTACTGTGTGGGGCTCACGGCTAACGTCGACGTGCAAGGAGTTGCCACTTTTGTCCTAGTGGGGTCACATCACCCCTGGTCCACCTCATCATCCAAACATAGCACATAGGTTCTTCTCTCTTGTCATCTAGAGCGATCATATGCACAAGATGCTCATAACTGATCATTTTCTGATTACAAGAAGACACAGCTAGCACTTAATGGCTGTTTTCTGTGTCAGGAACCATTCGTTTTCTGGACTTGACAGCAGTGACTCGGCGACCAGAGATCCTTAATCTCACTTTCCTGTTAGGTTGACGTAGTAGACCTCAGTTAAGCACAGATCCTAATCAGTTATCTGGGAGGCTGTTGCTTGTCCGCTTTTTGCTTTTCTACTGTCACTGTTCACATTAACCCTTCTTTCTGCACAACCAGGACACTACGTCGTGATGCTTCGGTAAGCCAAAGCTACCCCTCACTCTCAACTGGTCCAGCAACTAGCCGCCCTGCTAACTACTTAGATGACAATGATTTCACCTTCATAAACTGGGCATATACTGTAGCCAAACTAGTGTTTGGCTTCTAGATCAGAAAAGTATCCACTTTTCTTGGGTCCATTTAGCTTGTGGTCATCTTTTTATATATTCTTCATTTGACGCCGTTGTATCTTATGCCTCCTAACACTTGCATCGCGCTACTGCTTTCATTCTATTACTTTCTCGTCGCCCCTCTTTCCAAGCTTCAAGCCTCGACTGTAGTTGCCCCAACGCCCCGTAGAACTGTCATTCATTCAAACTGACTTGTCCCCGGTCTACGCTCACTACAGCGAAAAGGGAATTATCCACGAGCCTACATCTGCATGACTCTCCGTATCAATCTCCGTCTCACCCAGAAACAGCTGCCACGGAAATGCGTGTCCCTTCCCCTATTGCGGTACTCTTGACGACCGTTGCGTGGCTGCCCATAAACCGAAGCAGGTCATTGCGATGATTGCATGACACTGTCATACACAATGAGATGGCACTCCCGCAACCCATCGCCCACTTAATCCTGTAGTCACAACTATGAGCAAATTTTTCACCCGCCCCGTCGCTGTGGTGGGCTCTTCCGTACCCGATGAATTTTTCACCCAAATATGGCTAGCCTGGTATTTCTGCTGCAATTTCGGCTTGCCTCCTCCACAAGTTCAAATCCGTATACGGTGTTCGGGTCGCCCTGTGTATTAGCAACTTGTCCCCACCAAACTACCCCCTGCCCCTGACTTCCCTACAACAGTGCAACCAGTGAGTCGGCTTGGTTTCAGATTAAACCACATTTTTGAAACAAAGCTCGCCATGTTCTCCCAGTTTGAATTATCCCATCTCCATCTAAACTTTTGCTCGTTGTGTCTCCGACCATTTACCTAACCGCCCAAGGTCACTCTTGGTCAGCAATGGTTTTCAGCTATAGTTCATACCGGCTGGCTTTGCTTTTGAACGAGTCGGACCCCATGCCAATTGTTCCCAACAAGTTGGGAAAGAAACCTATTATTACTATTTCATTGGATGTTCCCCACTGTTTGTGACATTGTCCTCGTTCAGCGCAATTGTGTTGTGCGGCGACTGAAATCCTTGACAAACCAGCAGCAGTACATTGCTAATCGGAACAGCTGCCATAAGCACAGCTTGGAATTGGGAATCGCACGAGCCTAGAAAATTGCAGCTTCTTCAACAGTTGTCCAACCTGTTTTCGGCCCACATGTTGCCTTAATAGGATCAGTAAGCCTCGGGCGGGATTGAATGGCTTCATTTACCCGCGATTCAGAACGGCTTTTAAATGAACGGCATGTTCCCGTTCGAGGGGCTTTATAAGACGATATCCTCTTCCCCACGGCTTCGTTAAGATAAGCATGAAGCTCCGTAATGTGAATAGTGCCCTCGACGAACCAGTCACCATCCGTCTGATTTGATATTAGGTGTCATTAACCAATAACTCCATTTTCGCTTGGTCCTCTGACTTGCGAGATGGTTGTCATTACCCAGAATGCAAGTCAAAAACTGTCAAACAAAAAATCTTCTCAGAAAAAGATACAGTCGCCGGAAATCCACGCGAAATCGAAAGTGGTGGTAAAGATTGTAGAATTCAATTCTAAGACAAACTACAAGTTCCGCCCCAAAAATATTGTTTATATTGAACCTAAGCAGACTTATTGATATCACTGCTGTGGAGAAGTCGGGTGAAAAGGACGTTTTTGATGATGAGACAGTGCTAGTAAACCGAGCCCAATTAGCGCCATAAACGAGAGAAATTGTGGGAACGGCGAACTGAAATTGCAGCGGAAATAGGGAATGGTTAAGTCTGAACGGAAGATTTAGTGGCTAGAACGAACTTGTTCCAGGAACGGCTGGGGGCGGATCAAAATTTTAGCAATCGCATGTTTGATTAAGCAAGGGTAAAAAGAAAATGGTTGCGCGAGTGCTTCAGGATAGATACGGCAGTGCTCTACCATCATTTCACTGACACTGTAATTTCCGAACCGCTCCCTGAGGGACTTCAGGGTGGCGGTAACTGGGCAGGGAATGAGGATTTCGATGATGGAGGAGCTCATCTGTTTAGGCAAAAGAATTGACACAGTTGGAGTCAGAGCTCCCTGAGGGACTTCAGGGTGGCGGTAATTGGGCAGGGAATGAGGATTTCGGTGATGGAGGAGCTCATCCGTTTAGGCAAAAAAATTGACACAGTTGGAGTCAGGCCGATTTAGAAGCACTGCTGATTTTGATTTAGTTGTCTGTTAGTCTGGTTTTGCTTTCAACATACGGTCACTTAGATGACCCCTGCTTCATTGATCGTGTGTAATTCCGTGCTCTTCCGCGTTTGCAGAGAAAGCCATAGTCGATGGTTACCATAATATTTATCCGAGTTTTTACGCTCACAACCGTACTGATCCTCTTTTAACAACTGTGTTCTGATGCCAGCAAAAAACAGGATGACCACGAATACCTCGCTGATCCAGGGTTGAGCTCACTGACGGGATCTATATCGACCAGCTGAAGGCAATGCTTAATCTTCAAGAGTGATATCCCGGAATTTGCAGATGAGGTTTCCAGTATTAGGTTGAAAATTGCGTAAGGTATCACCGCGACAGTTCAGTTGCGTGCGCAGGAACAAATGATTCCCGATTTTTCTTAAATATAGTTATGACACCATCTGCCAGCTATTCACATGACCTTGTCACCCATTCAACTGCTTCACCCATATTCAAATCGTTCTTTGTGTCGCATTTTTTGGTGACGCTTCCCTTATAAATTACCCTTTACTTCCTTTCCATCTGTGGAAGGGTTGTTCCTCTTTCTGGTTCCCTTTCCTTCCTCCATCCGGGCATTCATTCTGCCCGAGAAGGTGAACGAAGGAGGGCCTGCTCCACACTGAGCCCATTTTAAGAAATCGACGTCTGATGGGTAGTCTATGAAATATCAAGATTAGTAGTAAAACCGGACACCCTGGCCTTCAGGTAGGTATCTCACCCCACCAACACAAGTTTTGAGAGGTCGCCTTAAGTGCCACATCGGCTACTCTTTTAAATCTCCTGCGGGTGTACGGGAATACCCGTAGATCTTCAGGATTCTGAGCGATCCGTTACGTATGTACTGTTGGTTATTTCAAATGTGAACAGGACTGTCCCACATTGCTTCCCGACTTTTTAGCAAAGGTTGGCGAAATTTATATTGAAAGGTTGGTTTCAGTGCGTGTGTTGAATTAATCATCCCATCCTCCAGTGATTTTGTGAATGGCAGCGTTACAATGTTAGCCAGTACACTCACGAGCACTGCGTATTCTGCTCAGCTGGGCAAAACACGAATCTGACTAAGATTAGTAAAATTATAGTAGAAATATTCTACAAGAAAATCGGATCTCGCATACGTTTGCGAACAATGAAATACCTACTCGGCCAACCAGTATAGAGATAACTCATCTGGCAGTGTTCCTGGGCGTGGGGATTTCATTGGTCTGCTACTTACTCGTCGTGCTCCTGTATGATCATGCGATCAAGCCAAAAACGACAACCTGTGAAAGTTTAATCAGAGAAACTGTTTTGATGTCAATTCAGCCAATGAACATCCCCTCTACCAATTGCCCCCATCGGATGTACTGAATGGTTTTCAGGACAGACCGAATGGTCCAAGCATGGATTTCTAGTCTAGTCATGGGTAAAAAATGTTTTTATCACTCGCAACTTTTCGGAATTCAGCTCTAAACGAACATATTTTTATGACCCAAGCAGCAGTGGCCCCTTCACCAGGCACAGAAATTTTACTTACTTGTTCTAGGGTAGACTGCTCTGGTCCGATGGTCGGAGTCAACCAGGTACTTACTGTGACCAAAAGAACGAAGACTTTGTTGTTTTGCAGCCACTAAAAATCTATAACACTAGCAGCTTGGGAAGTCATAAGTTATCCATTTAGTCCTACATAACATCAGGGGGCGTTCCATCTCCTCCAGGGCACGGAGTAAATCTGCCCATATTTATGGTTTTCTCCCGTCCATCCTCAGGGCAGTAACATAAACTGACTGATCAGAGGTGTCCACAATACTGTGCTTCACAGTGGATGAAGAGAAAAACTGTTTTGTATTCTCGACACTTGTATTCATACCGGAGGTCATCCGCCAATCTGCCAGGCTGAATTTGGGAGCATAGGTTCCCTAGTCCTGTCCACTACCTCAACGCTTGACGTAGATTCTCATGACTTCCTGGTTTACTGGGTCAACCAGAAACTCTTGAATCACTAGTAAGCATTCTATCCACACCGATGAAAAGCATCTAAAACTACGGAGTCAAGTTGTTTAAATTATCCATTGTGGGAGTTCTCGGCCTGCAGAGCACTCAAATATTTTGGGGTTACCCGTGAGGGATGCTGTCTGACGGCTAATACCAGCCGGGATGTGGAACATTATATCACACGTTAAGTACTTTCAATCGAAAGTATGTTGGCCTAGTTTTTCAACAAAACATTTGCAAATAGTTGGGCAATTATGACAAGCAAACTGGAGAGCAAAGCGTGGAACAGCGTATACTACAGGTAGGCTTCATCTTGTATTTTCTGAGAGAAAAAAATCCCCGAAAGAGTTGGCCGTTTCTTTTTGTTTCATTTTGTTTTGTATGCGTTGGTCGAAGGTTTTGTGGATAACTGTCTGTTGTCCTTAAGGCGAATATATTCAGTATACCTAATTACGTCGGTCTAAAAGCGCAAACTATGTAGTCGCTGCTGACACGAACGAGCAACTGGGCGGGTTTTGCACTATCGACGCTCAGTTGGGTGCCGATGAATCACCAGACGTCAAGTGAAGCTGAGCGTGCCGAACGTGACGCCTGGTGGACACGAAACGCCAAAGGACCGAATTAAGCCTAAAAACACGAATACCCGAAGACTACTTTGTGATAGCCATGCGACTAGTATTCGGAAACGAGTGAGCGAATCCATCAAGGACCAGAGTGGCGCGACTGCACTGAGTAAGGAAGAACGCCTTGACCGTTTGGTGGAGCATTCTGATCAACAACTCTTTTGGTCATCCGCTGTCACCAATTTGAATCTTACGACTGATGTAGAAACCTGGACGGTGAGCCTAGAATGCCCTTCGGCTTCGAGGGTTCTCTGAAGGACCGCCGAGCTGTTGGAATGGGTGACCTCCTACCCGTATAGTTCATAGATGGTGAAGTACTCAGCCAGCACTACTCTGATCTATATTTGTCCCAGACAACGGGAAAAGTAAGGCTGATGACCATTCTTAGATAAGGGGCCCGTAGTAAGTGTGGCGACCATAAGGTAGTCTGCTTGACCCCAACCTTACCGAAACTCATGACCTCGCTGCCTTATGGTGGCTCGTAAACTAGCGAGTCAAAATCAGCAAGGGAGACTCCCTCCGGGTTGGAGTTGCGCTGACCAGACCTCCGTTAGGTGCCAGAACAAGGCCATATGTATAAATGACCCACAGTTCTTTATGTTCCTGGATTTTCAAGGCGCATTTGACTTTGTCGTCCGGTCCGTTCTTAACGCATTTACCTGACATCGACCGTGGTTCTTTGAAATGCCTGAACACATGTAATCGATGGCATGTCTGAACGCTCATCGGCTTTTGCTCAATTGACTGATTGACTGACGGATCTGAATGCTTGCTGACTTCTCTATTGAGATTTTGGTGGAGGAAGCTTTGTCCATCAATTAGTCTGGCAAAATCCACATGGATGTGCTATCTGACTGACTGTGGCGACTGTCGGTTCGGTAACTTCCGGGCAGCTGCGCATCAGAAACCATCCCGACATATCTGCTCTATGTGCTCATCCATACTTAGCTACGAGTATCTTGTGGCTTATCTCTCCTCCAGCTAGGATCAGCTGGAGCATTCAGCTGTAGCACTCTTCTGGTGCCTAGCTGCCATGCCACCCGAAACAAGCACGAGGGCTGGGATACTGCCAGGTTGCCCAAGCCTAGACAGGGGAAGTCGGGAGGCGGAGGTGGGATTCGAACCACGAACCTTCCGTTCAGTAAATTCGCGCTCTTACCACTTGGGCCATCTCGCCCCAGCTGGAGAAGTTCGGCGGGAATGACGATTCAGTTACCAAAGAGAAGACAGCCACTGACACCGACGTTGAAAAAGTTGCTGGAGTTCTCTTGGTGGTCAGCTTGATTGATGTTACTCCGTTGCATTTTGTAGTACGTTGCGATTTTTAGTGGCATCGCGGACCGCGTCAAAAGTCACTTGTAGTTGTTTCATGGTCTCCAACGCGACTGCATGGACTTCCGGTTCAACGGCGATGATTGCTATGACGGCATCTTCTGGCTCCAACTCATGAGACGCAATTAAGCGCGATATCCCATCGGCCTGCCCAATTTTCTCGGTTGACACATACTTTATGGTGAAGTTGTAGCCGAGCAGAGTCATTGTAGGTAGTTGGCTGTGTAGGCCGGGATACCTTTATCGGAATGAAATATAGCCAGCAGTGGTTTGTGATTCGTCACAAGCATAAGTGCCGGCCGTAAAGCATTCTGTGGAACTTTTTCACTCCAAAAATGATGGCTAGCGCTTCCCTATCAATACGGCCGTAATTCCGTTTAGGTGGAGCCATCGACCTTGCGGCATGAGCGATCATCTCTTCTGTGTCATGAGGGAATGTGTGATCAACGACCGCACCAACTCCGCTCTTGGATGCGTCAGTTGTGGGAACGGTAGAAAATTTGGGATTGAAGTCTGTGAGTAGAAGTTCAGACTGCAACAGCCTCTTCACTTCGAATGCAAGCTTACAGTTGTGTGACCAATCCAACCGGCGTCCTTTGGTCATATGCTGGTAAAGGGTTCTCCCAAACGATGTATAATGGTAGGAAGGCGTTGTAGTCGCTAATCAACCGAAAAAGACTTCAGTTCAGCGAGATGATGACGGTGAGAGTATTCTCGCAATTGCGTAGATTTTGGACGGGACGAGTCTACGACCATTTTTGTTGATAATAAAACCAAGGTACTTTACAGATCTCAAGAGGAACTGCCTACCTGGACTTCTGGCCTGCAACATGGGAATATCGAATTCATTCAGTCTCACAAGTGAATGGTATGTTTACCTTACTCAGTTGTCATCGGTCTGGTGCTGACCTCATTCCACATGCTCTCCCCGGAGACTGTGATGAGTCCAACTTATTCGGGGTAAGGATATCACCCCAGACAACTGGTGCTCCTCTTCAAAAAAGGTACAGAGTGAATTTGGCAGCTACAGAAACGTCATCCTGATTCACGATGTAACAAAACTCCTGGCGTCGTTGATTCTTCGCATTTTTTCAATTCTGTCGATCGGCAGCGAAGCATTAATGTTGAACACTGATGTCATGCTGTCGATGATGGTGATGATGTCTCTGTAGTCGAGCTTAATAGTGGGGATCCGAGGGGTTAAAAGTGGTCCGGTCTTCATTTTCACCCACTCCTGGACGTGTAATAATGCACAACGAGCTCCCCAAAGGCCTCCGTACGGAAGGTGGTGCCGGGCGATGAGGTAACGAAACGAGCTTCGGGAAGTTTTCAAAATTCTGGCTGTAGGTGAGAACCTTGTTGGCCTATATTATGAAGACGATATCATTTGAATTTTTGAAGACGAACATGAAGCAGGTGTGCTATTAAATAAACTGGCCATCATCATATAATCTTTTGGCGGCCACATTGCACCCATATAGTGCAAAGTCATGTTCCTGAGTGTCTCAGAACATCTCCTTCGAAATTCAAGCAGAGAAAGTGGAGGCTCTGGAGAGCTTCATACACCTCGATTTTGGTGCTTTCTCTGACAAAATTGTAGTTAATGAAATCGACGCACGAATCTCAAAGACTAGAATCACCGCCAACTTGCGACAGGTGGTGTCAAAGATATAGCATTTGGTCTCGGGTCGCATGTAATAGATAGCGGCTGTTTTCTTATATTTACGAGACTTGGCCTCTGCGGACGGATACTTTGAGGCGTCCTCAGGTTTTTGACCGTCGATAATCAAGAGGGCTCCTGACATTGGACAGGGTCAACGAATTTGCAGTGAGACTGCAATGAAGTGTGGTTGTGCAACAGCTACGTCAGTCGGGAAAAATTCCGGTGTTATCTTCATTGGCTTGGCTTTGTGCAAGTCATGTCGGCCCATCGTCTGCCAAGCTGAGTGTTCATGCCCGGATTGGTGCGCATTGTGAGGTGGGCGTGTGAATGCTCAGAAGTTTGTCTACGTTTTGGCTGTTTTTTGTTGCGGTATGCTTTCTAAAATGGAGCAACCATGACCATCCGTGTGTTTGGTTGGAGACGTAAGAAATGGCTGCTGACCGATGTCAGTTGTGTGCGTGATGCGAGTTTCTGTTCAGATTGTCCAACTGGGTGCTCAAAGGTGTCGATACATCAAAATGATTGTGATAACCTAGCACCAGGACCTTTCCCTGCCCATTTCTTGCTTTTTCCACTTTTAAGACCTTACAGATAACCAAACATCGGTTTTAAGGTAGAAAAACTTCGATGTCCACACTGACGCTGTTACCTGTGATGGCCGTTTTCTAGGATCATTTGGGATTCAATCGACACAGACTACTACCCTGTATCCCGTCCCTCCATGAGCAGCCCGAATTATTCGGTCTGATTTGACTTGAGGCGCTCGGACACCTATCATTTTCCCTTAGCTGTTCTTTTGGCCGGATAATGCTATGTGAGGTTAGCCTGTGTGATCAAAAATAAATGTTTCGAGGGCAAGCGGCACTGGTGTGCCTGAGATATCTGGGACGTTTCACCTACTTCTTAACTTCGTATCGGACGATATATATCTGGGACGTTTCACCTACTTCTTAACTTCGTATCGGACAAGGTCAGCGCAGTGGCAGAGCAATTCACCCGCGCATGCAAGAGAAGCCAATCAAGCCAGACCCCGCTATGAATGGCTAAGGAAGTGCGCTGGAAACAGGGGACGAACAAAGTCAAAATCACCTAGAGATAGTGTTATGTGCGAGGAATATCATACGTTCCCATCAACTTGTTGGCATGAAAGAGGCAACTTATGGAGGGGTGCCCCTTCGGTTGTCTGTTCATCTACTTTGGGCCGTTATGCCATTCGTATACTGCTAGGTAGATTAACCCAGATCCCCATGGTAACAGACGCTGGTGAAGCAGAAGTCCTCTAGTGACATCACTGCTCAGCGCATCGCTTAAGACGATCGCTGGGGGAATTAATTACCGTTCCGTCTTTTTCCCATATAGTTTCACTAACATGTCTTGTTTTTACAGGTTGATCGAATCAGCTGAAATAGGGCGCGACTGTCCGAGTGCTTTGGAGATTCTCATAGTGAGGGCATTTCAGCCCGCATAATCACATTCATTCGCGATGTCTAGAAAGTAGGTGGCTTGTGTAAGATTCAATGGTTTGAATATCTAAGCATAATCACGATCTGTACGTTATGGGACCTTTTCTTTGTGACATGCAAGTTACTTAATGGAAGATGGTGTATTAGTGAATTACCAGTATTCTCATCTGGTGTTCCCATCTGCTGTTAACGCTAAATGGAAGATAATCTACGGAGAGTCTTGGTTAATGAGAGGGGAAATAGTGACGCTCTTGGCCCATGTAATGTGCACACCGTTGCTTGCAAATTTTGCTAAATCATTCAGTTATGTGTCAGAAGGATGTAATCACAGTACTTTAATAGTTCTGATGGTAAACAGTCTTCATTAGGTACTTTTAGTCACCCGGAGGGCCAACGGCCTCGCATAGCTCCTCCAGACAACAGGGATAGTCCAGTCCATGGGTTCACAGAGACGCAATTGCATTCTAGACTCCGAGCTGTCCATCACTACGCCAATATTTGAATTTCGAATATTATGGTTCCAGTTCTTTTCTTATCCATATAGTACAGCTTTCCGGTTGAACAAGTGTGTTCAATAATGCCACTCTGCATAACTTCCCCGGATTCTCTGCTTCCCGTCCTTCCCTTTTCTCTCTTCCACTGTTCTCTACTCGTAACTCTGTCAACCTTCCTTCCCTCATGGTTGTGTGGCAATTAAGCACAGGTATGTATTACCACCGTATTGCCGTCACTGATGATGATGGTGAACTTTGGTTTGCCAGTCACAAGAATGTGGTGTGTGTTCAGCGGCTTTGCGACTTCGGTCTCTAGGTATGCTGTATTTGATTGAAGATTTTTTGCCCAAAGAAATGACCCAAGAAACCCAAATTTTTCCCCACCCAGCATTCGTGGAGTGTCACGTTTCTGTGTAGAATTTGACATCGTACCCCCAATATCAGTTGAATGCAGTAATACTTCCGCCCTCCGTTATTCCGAACATGCGTTGCAGTGTACCCTCCAAGGAGAAATACATCAGCAACTTGGGTACATTATCTATCGTTCAGTTCTTTATTGTAGATAATTTTTGTCCCACTACTTTATCCATTAGTTAATTCAGGTTGTCTTATTAATGATTCTTATAACCACTGAGGAAAGTTGTGACTGGGAGTTCTTTTGCTGTTACTCCCACAGGATATAGACAATGAAGGGGTGGAGGAAAACAATGCCTTTCTCATTGATGTCGATGTTATACGTGGTAAGTGTCTTCTTATTTTTCATCAGGGTTTCATTCGCCTTGTTTTTTCCGCAAATTCCATGTGATAAGGTGTTAAGTTTGTTTACGTGAGTGCTTGTTTCCGTTAATCTATTTTTGTGAGTCGTATGGATTCACCATTCCATGCTCCGTAAATAACCCATATAGAGGTCACCAGGTTATTTTAGCCACTTGTAATTTGTAGACAGTTATCCAGAGCAACCGTGCTGGAAGACAACATATCACTCTCCGTAATTTCCGAACACCGCAAACTTTATCCTCTTATTCATAACGAGACCGGGGAGAACATGGATGTGGAATCGATCAATAGGTATAAAGTCTCATGATATGTGCCAGTAAAGTTGTTTTCAAAGCATCGATAGCAAGTAGATCATTGGTTCTTCGTAAACTTGACTTACACAAAACTTTGCGCCGTCAAAGTTCAGTCATCACATCTTACTTTCGTCTTTTTTGCCCATTACCCTGAGTAAACAAGCGATGGGTACAAGTTATCCAGTGTTTCACGGAATGTTCATTTTAACGCGAGGAGCTTTTGAACAGCATTCTCAATGGTTCATTTAGACAAGATTTTGCGGATGACCTTCGCACGGCTCGTCGTTTGACAAAAAGATACTTTGCATACACCCTAGCTTGACTACGAAATGACCATGAGATGCCTGAGGTGCCAGTAGACAGCTATTTTGTTTGTAAGCAGAATATCGCTAAGTGGATTTCTGAATCTCGAACACAGAAAATAAACACCATCTTGTCTGGGGTAGCTTACCGGCATTTGTTTGTGTGCGTAAACGTGTGTATGCCTTATCGATTCAGGTCCAGTCTAGTGAAGTAAACAATATCCTGTTAAGATACTAGGCGGATCCAGCGCTTGCGGTTACTAAGATCACCGAGTGGTCTTGGGACTGGACGCTGTACAGACTACAGTCTAGTTTCACTCTTCCGTCATCCTCTATCACCGGCTTTTTACCGCAGTGATTCTCCGAGTGTCCTTTTTCCAAAGTACATCTTGAGGTTCACGTTCAGTTGAATGATACCTAAGCGCATTCCCTCCTGAAGTTAAAAATGTTCATAGGGGCAGTAATGCTCCTATTGAAGACAACTGGCCTGTGGCTCCAGAGCAATACATCAACTCATTGTATACGCAAGTCACCTTATGGACATTGAAACAGAACAACTCAAGTTGTGGAATCATAAGCATGCTTGAAAATATCAGTCGGTTTACCTTTACTTTACTATTTTGTTTCCCATAGTGTTGCTGAGATGCCGAGATATACTCTATTTTGAATTTTGGCTTTCAGCTACCCGTAATGAAATAACTGGCTTGTGCAAACTTTTAAGTGTTGGTGGAAATTTTATGATAGCTGACACGCAACAACAATAAGTTTCTGAAGTTTTGCACATCAACTATGTTGTTCAACAAGCTTAATTGATGTATTGAAGACTGGTGGGGTTAAAATGTATTTAGTGGCAGTAATGCAGTAATAGGACCACACTACTGTTGTCGGTACACTTAGCCGTCCAGGCATCCCAGCCATCGGCTGTTGGTTAAGTAACTAGATCCATCCAAAACTGATCTTGGGCGGATGTTGAAAGGACCTGCAAATTGTCGATGTAGATATCGCATGTCTCGTACAGGGAACGCGACACGGGGAGAACAGACCGTTTAAGGGTTCTCAGGAAAATTGAAAAACGCACGTGGACAACAGATATTGGCCTCTGGTTTGGACAGTGAATCATGAGTGAGGTCAACCAACTCGTCGCGTCCCGTTGAATTCTAGAACTTACACAGGTTTCGACAGTAGTGAGTTGTGGGGTTTGGTTGTTCGTGGTACAAAAGTTAGGCTGTTGGCTGGTTGCTGGTACACGTGGCCGAAATCTCGGCGCCTCATTTAACTCTACTCAGTACTTGATGGTATAAGCTCCATTCCATAACCACACGATTTTTATAAAAAAAACTCGACTCGTGGTTATCAAGGGATACTGTCAGTTAACGTTCAGCGTTAGCTGACTATGATCATGATATTTTGAAAGTGTCTGAAATTCCCTGTTCTACGATACATAGACCTGCTCCGTTCAATGTGCTTTCTCCACGTTAGATGTTTGAGTCTTTTTTGATCATAAGTGCCTGCAGTTAGTCGTATTGATGCTTCGGTATTCTTGAACCTTCAGGCCGCAAACGATAAGAACAAAGTTGCATATGGGTGTTTTAAACACTTGGGAGTTGGAAGCCACTGCGTCTGCGTTCTTTTGACTCCGTTCATACGGCTTCAAAGACCGCTACTCAGATGTGGGCAAAAACGACCCTGCTGTTAGTTAGTCAGCTTTTATTCGTGAACAACGAATGGACACGTTTCAGAACTGTTGGAGAGCGCCATCCCACGAAGACCTAACCAGTCAAAAGTATATGTTTACTTGAGTGCGCCAACCACTAGGCCGTCCATGTTGCAACCCATTGGTCTGCATTATCACACTGCTTTTTCGCACAGCATTCGTTTCCACCTAATTTTCGCGTGAACTGTTCATACTTTCACTTACGTTCCAGAGGATGACTTCGTTTTTGAAACGGTAAAACACTGTTGTACGAACAGTCTTTTACCCCATCTTGGCACAGCAGTTTGGCTAAAGTGGACTTTCATGGTACATTTCAACTATTTCGCTCTGAGCACGGGTCTGCCCTTCCATATTGTTGAGGTACCATATAAGTAGCGCGAATCCAGGGTAAGGTTTCATCAGAAACAGTACTTGCTTCATATGTCAGTCTGTCCCCCTAGAATGACTTGTGCACATTAATGCTTTCATTCCTGTTGAAGCTCGGCTGTCACCATAATCCGATTGAATTCGTTTTTTTTCGATTTCGTAACAGATAGGAAATATGGTACCAATTTTTCAGTCATTTTTAAGCTGCGAAGAGAGTTCGAAGATCTATTCAAGACGGCAGTCTAAAAGTAGAGCACTTCTATCCCAGTAAGCGTTGGTACATGCTTCATGCCTGGGAATCGTCGACACCATGCATCCCATGGACCTCTGCGATGATTCCAGCCCGCAACTTCACGGTCGGGAACTGAGTACCATATCATACTATGCGACTGGCCGACCAGCCGGGTGGTTAGCTTGCACTTAGACCGAATATGGCGCTAACATCCCTCAGTCACGTGGCTCATGACACATGATCCATTGCCTACTGGCTTCTCGCGTGAATATGAGTTTCCTGTCAGCTGTTTGCTTGTTGGCTAACAAAAATCAGCTAGAAACTAGAACAGCTTTGCTCGAAGCTTCCCGATCGGAAATACTGAGCTTGGAAACACATAGGAAGTCGAATATTATGGATTGACGCTTGTTTAGAAAGGCAACATATTCAGTTCACATATTCATTCACTGGCTCTTATTTTCACCATGGATTGCTGTCCGCTTCTAACACTTGCGGAATGTTCTAATTTCTCCATACTATGGAATTCACCGGTGCATCGCGTACTTATGATCTAGATTATCACAGATGGGAAGCTTATCGGTGAGTGAGGATCTCTCCTTTGATCATTCAACCCAATCGGCACATTTAAGCAATTTCTCCTCATGGAAGTCCAAGTATTTTCCGTTTAATGACCAGTGTTTTGTATGTTCGAACTGTGGTTTCAGAACTTTTTTTAAATACTATTAATCTTGAGCGCACTCGAAGGATGTGATGGACACAGTTGTAGGCCCTTTCTATGTAGTCCCTCATGATTTTCCTTAAAATGTTGCAGTGTGTATACGTCGCATTTCTTCATGTATACCCAGTTTTTTGTTCCACTGATTAGTGTTGGGGATGGATCCTTGTTGTATTCAGTTTTGGGTAGTTGAGCACCGAAATTAGGCCATTTCAATCCTCAAACTCCGTATTGTTCGCAGAGCCGGATAGGCTTCTGGGGTGGGTGTCAGTGCTATCTATCAGCCAGTCGTAATCTATCAGTGGTACAACCCACTGGCTTTCGAACTGTCTTTTCGTTTTACCTTCGGTTTAAACGCGCTAAAATGCATTCTTGCTGGTCTATACACTGCTTCGCGCAAAATGGCATGTAGCATTAATTACTCTTCTTAGAACTCCATTGACATGATTCGATGGGCAAATCTTGAAACAGGTATTTCCTTCCTGGGGGCGAGATAGCTCAAGTGGTTAGAGCACGAATTTACTGACCGGAAGGTCCGTGGTTTGGAACTGACTTCTGCCTCTCGACTTCTGTCTAGGCCTTTGCAACCTGGCAGTATCCAAGCCCCCGTGCTTCCTTCCGGTGGCGTGGCAGCTAGACACCGGAAGGGTGTTACAGCTGGATTATTATTATTATTATTATTATTATTATTATTATTATTATTATCCCCTTCCTAGTGGCTTCTATCCCAGTATAAAACTAATGTTGTTCTGCAACCAGTGACTAGCTGTATGACCTGTCGGTTAAACTCAGTAAGCTGAAAGCGTAATCAGTTTCGTGTTGTCCAACCTTCCGTCGTACTCTTGCTTCTCCAAAAATGTTAATTACTGACAAATAAGGTTACTTAGTGATGGTTACGTTGTATGGACGGTTGAGCAAGCCAAGCGGTTTACGCACGTCGAAATCTAACAAAACAAGTAGCTTGTATACCGCAGCAGCTAGTCTAATTATCACAAACTTACCAACTTCCGAATACTGTTGGTTGGTTGGTTATTCGAGTACTCATTATCACTCCAGAAACTCTTCAAACAGCCATCCCGCCGAACAATCAATCTCGACACTCACGGTCATGTTTGAATGAGTCAAACATCTCACAAGCAACCTTGTAAATATTGTTGGTATTCCGTATGCTAAGTAACAGGATATAATGGACACGAACAGGGTACGTTAACGACTGACCACATTTCGCTTGAAAGCCTGAGAAGATGGATAGGTTTTGTGGGGATCGTTCAGATGCCCGTTATTGTGTGATCGCGAATTTTAGCCTGCGTGCTACCGAAATGACGCACCCGGCACTTAGGGCGACCGGCAGAACTACCCTACCTGGCCACACACTTCTCAGTAGATCGATACGTTAATGCCCCAAAACAGCAGTTGGCAAATATAGGGAGCGTGTGACAGTATTCACGCTAATGTACCCACTAATGAAACTGAGTCCACTACACTGGCTAGACGCATTATGCTTCTAGACACCTTCTGAATACCGGACGACAGACCATCCTTCAAAAAACGATTTGAAACCGGGGGACTGCGCCTACCTGATGAGCCCCAAGAAGGGCGAAACCGGTCGTGGGCTGTCGATGGGTTTTCAGCAACCTTATGAGTAGTGCATTACAAAGATTCGAAGCTTTGTTTTCAGATTTTCATTTGGCTTCCATACGATACCAAACATCCTTACAGAGTGGAGCTGACGAGTATCTTCCGGTTAACTTCTAGGTAGACCTCAACTCCCTTCCAAGGACCTTGACGCTCAAATCATTGGCTGTCTCAAGCATAACAAGATCGATCTTCGGATTTTCAGCTAGAGGCATCCATACTCATTGTACTTGGAACATGGTTCCCAACGAAACACCAGATTGTTTCACTTTACAATCTCGACCTCTTCAAGATACAAAGGTTACAGTCAATTACACATCGACATGTGTTACGTTTTTTGTACGGAAAACCCTTGGAAGCCGATGAGCTTTTCGTCTGTATTCCGTGTTCAAACAATATATTTCCGCCACATCTTTTCCCAATTTACTTCCCCTCCAGTTGGTAAAAAATGAATGCATCGGGTAGGCTTATTGGAATCGCTTCCTGGCCTCGGAATACTTTGCACTTTTGATACCGCTTTGCGAAAATCGCAAACGGTTGTTGGTATCCCGTGATACACATCGTCCCGGTTTTCGTACCCGTGTTTCCTATCGTCATTCTTATTTGTCTTATTGTCATTCTTATCCAGTTACCGTCAAACGGGTACTTACCACTTTACCCGCTTCAACGCACATCACGGGAACCTTCCTCGAGCTCAGTGTTTTTATTTCCTGTCACCAAAAGGTGGATTTTTTGTTGGTATCTTGAGTGGCGTTTTGACATTTGCTAGCAATGCAGGCAATGCTAGCAATACCCGTTTTATTATAGGTGACATTTCTTTAGGGTGTCGTTTGCCTAACTGAATGATTTCCCTGGCTTTTTGACTGCTGTGCTTCTTTTTCTCTTTCATTGTCCAGGAACGGTGTTCGCTAAAAACAAGCCCCGTCATGGTTGGTTGCACGCCCTATCACTCGGAATCTTACGAGCAGCGTTCGCGCCTTTCTACTGGGAATATTGGCGCAAACACCTGTCGTTTCGTTGGACCGCCTATATAATGTTGCACTTCATTCTACAGTTCGTGCAGGCCGTTTGCTTTCTGTTGATTGATGTGGACAAAAGTCGGGTCAGTTTTTTAAACATGACTGATTTAAAAACCTGCTGATTGGAGTTTTGCGTACATGTATTCGGATGCTCTTTATTCACTTCACCAAAACAACACCATCAGCCCTTACACGGGATTTTGAATGGGGTCACACCCTGAATTTAAAATCCAGTCCATGTAGCCGTTGGAACAAACCAAGTATTTGTCAACACTAGAAGGAGATTTTTGGCGCCATCGAACTTTTCTTTTGATTGACTTTGGTTGCAAATATCTCAGCAGAAAACCGCAAAAAGGACGCATTTTCCGCGTTTGGACAGATCATACTCAGGATTTCGCAAGTTACGCCTTAGAGACGATTCTCAAATGACTTGGCTGCTAATTGCCCTAGGTTTTTCTAGTACTTTGTGTTGTAACGTGGCTGCTGCTACGTTGACGGGGGCCTAGGGAGATTGACAAGGGAGCGGCGAGACACTGATTGTAACGGCTAAGCCAATTAATTTGCATCGAATATGCCTATCTGTTTTATGGAGAGGGGAACAGGGTAGTTGTCCATTGAGGCACGAGTACCACTCACCTAGCAATTAGGCTCTGTCAGTACCACTGGGGTGTCTTCTCTTTGGATCCACCTCTAGGAGGGCTGCATTTGCTTACTTGATTGTTCGAAGGTGAAGGACTTCATCTTTCGTTACCAAGTCAAAGCCTGACTACCTTGGGGTTGGTCCAACGCTGTACACAGCTGCGCGGAAAAGGCTTTGCGACACACGCCGTCCTTCGGCATGCAGTTTGCGTCACGTAGGCACTATCATCTTTCGAGTGAGTACTTTACTCCTTATGGGCACGTCACTTCTTTCAAAATTCGTCGGAGAACCGAAGTTCCTGCCATAAAAGACCAATGATCGTCATTTGCTTCCGGTCAATATTTTGGGATCGAAGACCCTAATCTGTTCTAGGCTCTTTGACGGAGAGACTTGTGTCATGTCAGTGCTGATGGTCACGGAACTTTTCGGTTTGGGAAAATTTTTTTCAGATCATCGGAACTAGGGTAGCTTCCTAGCCTCGGTACACGCGGTTGAGGTACTGCGCTAAAGTACTGCGGTAATGAGTCCCAGGGGACGCGGATCTTTGCCGTGTTCAAATATTAGTCATAGCAAAGGGTTGTGGGCATTTCAGCCGTGGATGATGTGAAAGATGTTTATACTCTTCTGCGATCGCTTTTAAATCCATAATATTTTTTAAGCTTTTAGGACAAAAGCCCCCCCCCCCCCGTGTATTACTGGTTTGGATAGTTCGAGTTGCATGGATGCGAATTTTTTGGACAAGTTAGTATTCTTCTGTTTTTACGCGGCCTAACCTCATACGCTAATTTTTTGGCTGTTGTGGCTTCCAAGCATTACTGCATTTTTTATTTCAAAGTTGTTTTCTTTTTCTGTCAATTATCTACAGGGCTCACAGGATGATGTGCTTGTCCCATGCCTACTTGCCGTATGTCTTGGTATTCTGCACACACACATAACTGCCATTCATCCCGGTGGGGGCAATTCAGCAAGCGCAGTCAGTGAAGGTGACTCCAAATCTTATATCTCGACCCGCGTCGGCAATCGTTCCACTTCACTTGAACCTGCCGAAGAAACTTGGGTGCCATCTGACAGAATGGCCAGTAGACATCGCTCCAAGCCATTGATTTCTACCAATGTCGGTGGCAGCAATATCCCTGCACACACTGAATTGAGTGACAGTCACCAAACGTAAGTCAGATATTAGTGGAAGTTAATGGCAATTGGTTTTTCTACCTATCCCACCTTCTCCTGTGATACACAAACTTTGACGCACGGTGCAAGGTCAGAAACGGTGGCTCAGTTCCGACCTGATAGGGTTAGGTACCCTAACCATTCTTCAGCGAGACGAAGCACCTCTGGCTTTTCGATCGCTCCCATGTAGGCTTCGGCCATTTTGCACTGCCTCAGACCTTTTGCATCCCTGGGGTTGTTCTACAGCTGATTTTAACTTAATTGATTGAGATTGTTCTGTTACTGGTAACATACTGCGCTTGTCCACTTATGTTCCCCAGTTATGTTGCAACTGGTGGGCAGAGTTTTTCGTACAGGAAACTGGTTTTAACGGTCCCTCTTTGTGTGGTACATCACACCCATTTCATACCGTAGTTGGATCATCTAATCTGCAATATGTTACGCTATGTTGGATACCCTTAGTCCACTGCAGTGATTCTTAGATACACTTCCTTTTGCCAGACCACCATTTTCTGCACCTGCATTCGATCTGATTGAATCAGCTCAATTGGTTCCCGAACAACCAATTTTCCCTGCTCCGTGTTATCCTACCGTCGATATTGTGGGTGTGAACGACCGCAATATTTTCCACTGCCCAACTACAAGTGGGACGTCTTTGGTACCAACGAATCTTTCTGTCGGGGCTCACACTGTTCCCTCAAGCTCGATTCATCTGTTATCTGAAGATACCGCACCAACTGCCTCGCTTCGTTCACCCTTGAAACATGATCTCGGAGCTCAGGTCTCCAGTGGTCAACTCGCACTGACTGAAGGGGATGAAGATGAAACCGAAGAATCCTGGCCGATGCAACCTTTAGCCGGTAACCCCCATGGCGCTTCAGTGGCTTCTCACTCTGAGGAACGAAATTTCGGCCACGTTTACCCCGGCCCAGACGGTGGTGCGTATCCAGTAGAAAACATACCGGATGACCTTGTTTTCTGCGTTACAGGTGATGTCTTTAAGAAGAGCCCATTAAGAAGACGGAGATCATCGGGGACGTCTACAAAGAAACGTAAGCTCTCAGTTCCGCTCCCGAATACAGCTTTGATTTCTGTGCAAACCGCAAACTCTGCATCACCCGTTCTATCTCCTTCTGGATCGACACCCCTGCTCGCCGAGGTCAACTCTGTTTGGTATGATGGTATGTGCAACGCAGCTTCTTCGTTCTACGAAACGCAGTCCAGTTTTCTGAGTGGTCATCGTGAAACTTTGTCACCCAATACGAGTAATAAGGACTCACCAGTAACTTCAGCAGGTGGTGTCACGCCCGAAGTTAAGGTTAGTGCTACTTCCTGAATTCCGTATTCATGCTACCAATCTAGGAACTCCGTCGTTGATAACGGCTGTTTTTTTATTATTGGCCTCTGACTCTGCCTCTCGTACGTTGATGATTTTATCTTCGCCCTGTTTTCCTACGGCCACAAGCCTGCAAGATCTCTACGGGGTTTGTAGTTGATCAGGTGGCTATTAACCCATTAGCTGAGATTGGAAATTAACTCGCAAATGTATCGTCACCAAAGGAGGAGGCACCATCAGTGTACATTTGGCTGGGGACTACCTCCTTACCTGTGTGTTATACCTTGACGTCACTCGTTAGTTGTGAGCCTGGCTTCTTGTAAGTTCTTTGGGTCATTTCTGATTTGTGTGTCCGTCTTTATTTCGACTGGGGGCCCCGATACATCCTTTTTAAGTTTTCTTTCCTTGTTTCGATGAGCCCGTGTGCTCGGATGATTTGCATGTGATATTGATAATTTACATACTGCTTCCCAAGGGTACTTGCCGCACAGTTGGACTATCCTCGCATGGGTGTGCTTTTTAGTGCGGGTATTCCTTCATTTAACGTTTCAAATTATTCCCATATACGAAGCTGTCTTATTCGCGAATATTCCATGCACTTACTCGTAGTGTGTCGTTGAACGCCATCTGGTTGACGTCTCTGGGCATCCTTTTCTCATGATTTTTGTAACCTCTTAAGACTTTCTCTGGACTTTCACAAGCTTGTGCAACTATTCGGACGAAGATCCACATAATTTGTATACACGTGGTTATACCCGGGACTCTACTGTACACGGTTTGCTTGTACTTGGGCTTCCCAGAACGTGTGAGTGTTCTGCATCCTTCTCTGAACCTTCTCACTGAAATGAAGATGTAAGATCTTAAAACCAGACGGACCATCCATGTAACAGTCTTTGTAGATGAAGTACAGGACGTCTGTCTCAAACTATATACATCCCAGATGAACTCTTTTGGTCGTCTATCTTTCTATCGTATCGCTACCGGAAAGTGAAGTCAGCAACATCAGTGTTGACATTGATGCTTCACTGCCGTTTAACCACAAGGTTCGTCTAATTATATCCAAAGCCCTAGAGTGAAAAGAAGAGAAAAAGAGTGGGTGAGGGAGGGGATTTAGTGTTGGCCTATCTCAAGCGTTCTGAGGTGCCTTCACCTCCAAGCTCTCGATCGGACAATCTGGAAAGAAACTGACAGCATGAACGCCACTAACATAGATTAGCCGCCATTTCTTGCAATGTCTCCAGCCAAGCACAGACGGGGTCACGGGCACCCCATCCTGGAAGGCGTACAGCACCAACAACACCCAAACTCTTCTCGATCTCTTTCACGCTCTTCTGCCAAGTCATACGCTGTCCATCTGGCGGTTTGCGCCATTCTGAGTCAGGCACGGACAACAACATTAGTTTTGGTAGACGGTGTCTCAGCATGCGTAGCACGTGACCTAGCCATCGTAGTCGGTGGCACTGGATGTGTTCCCCGATTGGAGTGCCTGTTACAATGATGAAACATCTGAAGACAACCAGCGATGCATCTGCGGTACACAGGGCTGATAACTGGAGAGATCTGTCAATACGGATCCACGATTCGTGTAAGCGCTTTTGGCGACTGTGGCTTTACGAAAAGTAGAAACGGCAAATTTAATGGGACTCCGCTGAAGTTTTCAAAAGTTTGTAGAGAGCCTTCAAGTCAACGTCGCCGACGTATTTGATGAAGACTCCAGTATGCTGATGTACTCGATCCACTATTTTACCGATTAGATGAAAAAGGCTATAGAGGGTGTGCTATCACCAGACGACGACTTAATGAGGGCAATGGATATGCTACATAAGCGAATTGGGTGGCCTCATAACGTAGCCAGAAATCTTATCAACTATGTGGTGATCGAACGTGATATAGCTACGGAGGAGCATTGGAGTTTACCTTCACTCCGATGTGCCATAGTACCTGTCCTAAATTTCCAAAGCACCTGCAGCGGATTGGTATTCAAACGTCTAGGCATCCTCATAGAGATGGAGCTACTCTATGCAGGCGTGTTTAGAGGTGCACCGACTACAATTGATAATCGTCAAGTTTGATTGCTATCGTTGTCACGAGACGGTATATCTGTAGTTGTGAAAGGTGAGGTGGGCTGGGATGGAGTATTTGATGCATTAATTGCGGTTCGTACCGCGATTCGGTCTACGGTAGAAAACGTGGATTGTATTTTGCCTTAAATACGATGCTCAAACGACTGATGGTTCAGTACATCAGCACATACCATAAAGCCACTTAGACCGACTATATACCTGCTTCCGTAGTTTGATGCCCGTTAGCATAAAACAATCTTTTTCCATTATTTCCTAACAAAACGCGAAGAATCTGTTCTCAAAATCGAGTAATCTAAATGGTCTGTTGAAGGATGGCTGCTCTTGAGAACCCGTAGCGTGTCGGGCGGTAGATCGTCAACGCAAAACAACCACGGATGTAAAGCCGCTCTTGATAAAAATATTTTTTACTAGTGGCCACTCAGTGAACATTCTATCCGGAAGATTGACTCGCCTCTTGACGCGATGCAGCGAGGTTCAGAAAAGTGTTCATTAACCAACTTGTTTATCCTCAAAGATAAATGGCTTATGCTGATCGACCTAACGTTCGCTTATTCTTTTCCCCTCTTCTGTGGAGTGAATCTTTTAGATTAGACGCAAACGTAATTTTCAAAGCAACCATCACTCAGCTTAATTGACTACAGCCCCTGACTACAGACTCAAATGCCTTATTAGCACACTTGGCGGGCACTGTTCATTAATCTGTTTCAAAGTCGCGTGTCGGGCGCCGCCACACAAATCCGAAGGATATGGACAACGTCTGATATCGGCAGTAAAAACCTTAGGTGTATGCTTGTTTATACCCGCATTGCGCACGCAGAATTAACATGTGAATGTTTTGTTGTTGCCTTGGCCCCAAATGGCCCCTGCGCACCACGTTAATATCACAGTAGTTGACAGACGAACAGGATTGCTGAATCAGACAAACATGACTGTGACAATTCCTATCTTCTCTGGTTCTTTGTAAGTAGTTCCATGTCCTTTTGTTTTGGGTGATTGTCTTCAGAAACCTGATTTACGCCTAGCTACTTGTCGTTTCAGATTTTACAGTTGTAAGAGTCAGTGGGTGTATTTGTTGATCCATTAGGTATGTGTTTACGAGAATTAGTATCTCAAATGTATCAGGTTGTCTTATGTATGAGCGTTCCGCGGAATCACTTGATGAGATCCTCATTGAACTGCCTTTTCCAAGAGGGCCACCCGGGTTTTCGCTGTCCGTTATGGTCCCATAATGCTATTGTGCGTTTTTTAGCTATTCAGTTTTATGTTATTCACCGTCGGATACGTGTTATGATTAACGTTTCTAACCGACTGAATGCTGTTGGCTTCCATATATTTGGGTTCCCAGTGCATGTGCACCGTATTCTTAACAGTTAAACAGATGACTCAGTGCCGAATACGGGTTCTACTCCTATCTCTTTAGCCTTTTTGATAGCTGCGTGTCCATTTATGTCCTTCACTTTTACGTCTTTGCAAGAGATGCATTTCTCACAAACGAAATCGATTTCAGGTTTGGAACGGTGATGGTTTTTGTGTGTAGGTTCAACCCTCCAAGTTACCGTTACTTGTGCACTTTAATGGCAGGATTTCTTCAAGCAAACTAAGGGCCACCTGCAGCTAAGAATTTGTTATCATAGTGCATCGCCCCTAAAGCAAAGCTGTCACAAACTTCCCTATTCCTGTTTCACCGTGAAAACCGCGTTCCGCTCTGGCTGGTGATTTTCCCATCATTTTGCGTTCACATTTATGGAGAAAAACTTACTGCACTGCGAAAAGTTGAGTGCACCCCCACGATTATACAAAATTTTCAGTCAACCTAATCAATACTTAAAGTGAAAAATATAATGGCTGAGTAGTTTCCTTTATAATGGCTGAGTGTTTGTTGAGAATCTCAGGAAACATATTAGCTCTTCGGTACTGACTGGCTTCACTCTGTTTGACGGTCTAGCTTCTTTCGAAAGACCACGAAACCTGTTTGCCCTTTAATCCATCTGTACACCAGTGGTGTCGAATGGCCGTTATTTTGTTTGTAGTCTGTGTCAAATTATTTTACTTCTGAACAGTGTCGTTTACGTGCATTTGGCCACCGTAATGCCATTTTGTTCGATCGCTCACCAGGTGGGCCTACGTGGGTGCTATGCCTTAAGTTGTTCACCCTTGTCTAAAAAAACACTCGCAACAACCACCAGTTTTGCTGGACTGGACAAGTCTCGTGCATCTTCGTTGCGTTACGCCTCTCATGCTTGGCTTGGTCTTTTTGGAGTATTTTCATTTTGCCGTCAGACTTTTCAAGCGGTGTAGATTGATGGTTTCTCATATCATCTCTTAATTATCTGACGAATTGGTGAGCACATCCGGTGAAGGATCAATCTAGCAACTTTCAAAAAACTTCATAATACTGAAAAGCCCTTGATAACAAGTTCAAATCAAATTCCAACTAAGATGGTTTTTCTTCATCACGAAGGCCGGTATGACGAAGGTCATGAGCCAATAGACAACGTAGACAACGCATTTATCTTCGAGGCTGGGGAGTTTAAGGGCTGACTGACTTGCGTGTTAATCGGATAATGATAAAAAATGAACTCTTGCAGGATGGGTAGATGATATACGCACTTTCTGGTGTTGCTTTATCTTGCTCGGGCACACAACATACCACATAATGCCCAAATGTATGGTTGTAGTTTTGGGGAAGTCGGCCGCGCAACATGGTCTCCCTGTAGCCGACGCCCGTCGGAAGCCGGCTGTGATCGCTTCGCTGTCCATCGAATGGAGGTAAGAACACTGCATTAATCATTAAAGCCACTGGAGCACAATATCTGTGCACCACGCAGTACACTTGTTGAGGTTTTAGACTTCCAGTGCTTTCACGGTATGATGAACTAACTGGTGGCCTCTGTCCGTCCACGATATGGCGCTTATCGATCTAGTTGTCTAGTTTCGGTCGTCTTCACCCTATTTCTTCGGTCCCACTTCACCACAGCTTATTGTTACAACACCAACCAAGTATCCATTCTAATCAATTATCCTGAATCCACAGTTGGGATGAGAGTGTAACGCCGATTCAGGTGAGAAGGCTATCTACCTTCCATTAATTTTATGTACAGCCTACTTTCTGTGTTCGCACACTAGTGGACCAGCTCCGAAAGTTCTTCAGCAATAGTGTTAGAGTATATCACTTCTTTCATCTCGTTCAACGCAAGGAGGAATTAGTCCACTTTTACCTATTTTCGGCGCTGATGTCTCATGAGCTCAGGATTGCTCAGCGGTTTAGGCGCGAACTTACTAACTGGATGGTCCGTGATTCGAACCCGACCTCTGCATCTCGACTGCTTCTGTCTAGGCAACCTGGTAGTATCTCAGCATTCGTGATTCTTTCAGGTGGCATGGCAGCTAAGCATTGGACAGGTGTTACAGCTGAACGTAGTAAATTTGGCAACTGTCTAAAACAGCTGTTTACCAGGTACGATATTCAGTCCTATGGCGCATATAGCATGCCTAGCCGGGGGTCGTGCAACCAAACTTTTGTATGTGGAGGCAAATACCATATGGAAGAGAGTTGTACTATACAAGTTCACTAAGTTGCGAAAGATTTTTGACTCTCACGTTCCCCAGCTTGTATGATGAAGGTTTAGTTAAAGTTACGCCATGGTTTTCAGTATCCAGCTGCTGGCTCGCCGCCCCTTTTTTTTTTTTTTTGGGGGGGGGGGGGGGGAGTTGGTATGGTAGATATACACACAAAAGGTGCTACGACTGGACCATCGTTTGATGTCTCAGTTTATTAAGTTTGAGTACAGTGTGTTGACCCTCTCGCCTGTTTAGTCATCATCATCGGCCGCATGACATCAGTGTTCAACATCGATGCTCCACTGCCATACAATCATGATTTATTTGAATGCCTTTTTTAAAGAAAAGAATAAAGTTGCACGGCGAATGAATGTAGTGCCTACACCACCAGACACTCACTCAGGCAATCTGGATAGAAAGTGACAACAAGGTCGCCACTGACACCGGTTGGCAGCCATATCTTGTAGTGTCTCCAATCAGGCGCAATGAGGATCACGCGGTCCCAATCCTGGAAGGTGAGTAGCACCGACAGCACCCAAGCGTTTCGTGATCTCTTTCATACTCCTCTTCCAAGTCAAGGTTTATCCACTTCTCTGTTTACGCCACTCTGAATTGGGCATGGGAAACAGCACTCTCTTCGGCAAACGATGGCTAGGCTTACGCAACACATGTCCCAACCAGCACAGCCTTTTAAACTGGACACATTGTTCAATGGAACTACCCGTTACACAACCAAAAACTCGCTTTCTAACTGCCTCATTACGGATTCGCCGACACCAAACCACACGAGCTGTGGTTCTGAGACAACGACTGTCGAACACCTGTAGACGTCTCAGTTCTGCTGCTCGAACGGGCCAAGACTCACAGCCCGCACCGTAACTTGATACACACGTCCCTTGATCACAAAGTTAAAAAGGAATGGAGAGGGTGGGCATCCCTGACGGACACCGCCTTGTGTACGGAAGCTTTTGGAGAGCTCTCCGTACACTCCCACACGTCCGGAGGCCTTCCGGGGCATTCCTTCTTGGTCTCAAGAAGAACAGACCGGTCAACCGAGTCGAATGCGCCTTGGAAATCCAGGAATACTGGAATTGTGGTTCGCTTATACGTATAGCGCCGTTCCAGCACCTGACGGAGTGTGAAGATTTGCTCAACGCAACATATAAGGTCACTAAGCACCAGTGACGCCAACAGTCTCTTTATGACCGGGGTCAAACTGATCCCCCTGTTGACCTAATTGAGTCTCACATACGCGGAGCCTGCACACTTATGCAATCATACCGCTGGCAACCACCACGATATTTGAGCTTTCAGCTCGGCGCAACATGGTATTCAGGGTGTTGTAAGACCTGTCTTTGCTGATATCTTAGCTACAGTCAGTTGGGGCCCAAGCAGACACGATAAACAGCATCGATCAACGCAACATGGTATTCAGGGTGTTGTAAGACCTGTCTTTGCTGATATCTTAGCTACAGTCAGTTGGGGCCCAAGCAGACACGATAAACAGGCATCGATCAACTTCCCCTTGTGAGACTCTCACTGACGTTGCTGATGGATTAGAGGTAACGCCCTAACCTCCCATGTCCGTTGTTCAAATCCGCGCCAGGACGGGGATATGAGCTGCTGGGAAGCCCCAATAGGGACGAAACGCGAGTCCATTGCTTCCCCATGTTCGTGTGGAAAAACCGTACTAATTTTACCAGGACCGGACGGAACTGTTCCAACGGGGGTCGATACCTGCGGATTCTGTTGAATTTTTAATAGTTTTGGCTCTTTCGAAAATGAAACGTTTATCCACTACGGCAATTTTCCCTTATACTCTGCTTGCCCGTATGATGCTGCACCGCGGCGCTACTGCTCTGAGCTGTGTGTTGTATTTTATTTCTGTATGCTTCCTCCCTATTCTCGGGCATCTCGTATGTTGTACATTGGACATCAAAGTTCAGGTGCAACGGACTTTCCTTTACTTGATTTAGTGCATTGCTCATGTCTGCTTAATAAATTTCAATGGACCCATGCACTCCGTAATAATTATGGAGAAGCCGGTTACGAAGACCTAATGCCAACATCCTCGAATTGCATACAACTGTACTACTTGGCTCATTGAGTAAATTGTTCTCAAAAGCGCCACTTCTAGCTGCTCAAAAGATGGACTTTAGTAGACTTCAGTGACAAAGTCAAGGAATAGCTGACAGCCTTCTGGTATGTGAAGCGCACATCTCTATTCTGATATGCCAAATTTTTGACCACTCAGGATATGCCTTCTTTTGACCGCAGCCGCTTGGCGACATATTCGTCTTGGCGGGGGAAGGGGCTCGCTTATAAACGCTTCTCTCAGCATAAGCACGCGCGCTGGAGTTACTGTTGATAATTGCATGTTTGTGGTGTCTCACTGAGAGGGCGTGTATTTGTCGGTGTGTCCTGACCACAGAGGTGGTCACCAAGATTCTTGAGCAGATGTACAAAACTTATTCACTCTGGGGGTGGGAGCATGTGAGCAATAGGCGCTTGGCTACTGTAAAGGTCATGAAGGACTGGGGAGAATGGCCGTGGCCTCGTTTCGATTGTCCGGCATCGAGTGGGGTAGTGTAAGGAAAGCTCTGACCCCCTTATCCTCACTTTTAAAATTGTTCGCATTTGTTTATGTCACAAATCGTCTTTGCTATCTCGCAGTCCGTCATGAACCATTGTGCTATCACTTGTTGCGCCGGTTTCCCCTTGAAGAAGAAACCGATCAAAATGTTTTCTACACGAGAGACAGTCACTACAACCTATTGATAATTCTCATCCCAGGGCAATGTGGTGTTTTGTCGGAAGTTAAGCGGTCCCAATTCAACTGGTTGAGGTACTTCATTCATGATGAATGTCTAAGATTTCTTTCGCTTGTGTGCTTGGACCCACCCATGTTTATTCCCTCACTCCACAAGTTTCTTTCCATGCGCTCTCTTGCAAATTTTGATGATCAGGCGGTTGTTCTCAATGGTACTGAACATAGAACCGATGATGCAAACGACTGGAAATTCGCCAACGGTCCCACTGAGAACGATCACAACGGGGATTCGTGTGACACGCTGAAAGATCCTGTGGTGGAGGTCGTGGATCGAAATTGCATGTCTAAGCGCCGGCGCTCTTGGTCTGTTGGTTTTCCGGTGGAGACAGCATTGGGTATTCCACCACTGCGCTTCGGATCTGTGTTCTCTACGTCTAACTACTTAGTCTCCATGCTGACGGACGATAGTCGAGCACACTCTTTATCGAACTCGAACACTGGGGCGCTTCTACCTATATCTCCCAGGTACTTACCCTTGTGGTTGCGTTCCATTTCACCAAACATGCCGTTATCCCCGACTCTCAAATCATCGCATTTGTTACGATTCTACTCGGAGGATCTGGATCCTAACCGCCTGGCTAGACAGTCGCCTGTGTATCGCGTCACCTCTTCTAGCGTCACTGTATCATCAAATGGCTCAACTTCATCTGCCGTCACTGAATGTGAGAAAAACCAGTTTCGCGTGGACAATCGTCTGGGTACGATACCTAATTTCACTCGGTAACCTTTGAATTGAATATCACGTATTTGTACTTATCAATTATCAATTTTCTGTAACAGGACTTGTAGGTCTGATGTTACAGCGCGCTTGTCAACCATGTCTAACCGGTGATTAATGCACTGCCTTTGTCATGACAAAATCCTTCCCATTAATTGAACACCCGACTGTTTCCTCTTTATATCATTGTGGATTCCCTTAAATAAAATAATAAAATAATCGTTCAACTGTAACACTCATCCAGTGTCTAGTGGTCACGCTCCCCGAAGGAAGCAACATCGGGGCTGGTGGCATTGACTCAATCGCGCAATCTCATGGTGCCACCGCACCAAATTTATCACCTTCAATGGATAACTGTCGATTCCAGATTATCCAGAAAAGCATGACAACTCCGCTTCTTGCTATGTCGTTTTCCTCTCTTGACTCTGGTATCGGTGAACGAATCTGTCGCAGCTGGAGTTAGGTTAAACTCAGTGTTCGTTTGGTACCCGAATAATTAACTTTCACTGAGCTTAGTATTTTTTCCGGTTATGTCAAACCATATCCCAGGTTCTCTTGCATTACTCGAGAAATTGGACTCGTGATTTTAGATGAATTCATTTAACCTTCAACAGATAATTAAGACCAATTACCCTATCCACTGGTTGGCTGTTTGTTCCCATTTGTTCTCTCATCAACCTAGTCCAACTTTATTTTTCTGCATCCATTTCAGATATGGAATCTTTTCATGGTATCGGGGCAGGTCTGAATGCCAATCCAGTATGGTAGGTTCATATTTTTTCCCCAGTTTCGAAGGTTTTGTTACAGTACATGATGCTGATGGGTTAATTTGTCAATTCATTTTTATTCTTGTGCTCTTTGTAGGACATCCTTTGCCAAATTGCCAAGAGAATCTGTTCACCTATGTACCGTATAAAACGTACTTTTATGATTGTAAAGGCTAAATAGAACAGAAAACATACGAATAGTCAGTATCTTGGAAACACCTAATTTTATCTTTACTATTACTGAAAATTCGCTTTTTTAATTATTCATCCAACAGTTATAGAATTTTGGGTTCCTCTGTCCCAAAGTTAAAGGGCTGGTTTGTCGTCGCAAAGATTTTATTGGTCCGCGGTTTGAACCCGATCATACGCACTGTTAATGCACTGCTGCCCACTGCTTCACTGGAAAAATCAATGGAACAACTGTCTTCCCGGTAGATACCTGCACTATGCAAGGTAACAGCAAATAGACCGATCACCATCGGTTCATTGATATAAAAGTGAACAATGAGTCCACAGACTTAGGCTTCTCCCTGCGTACAGCGCCTAGAAATGATGCTTTATAGGACATTATTGCACTTACCATTGTCACATTATCACCTTTTTCTATTGTTTTATTCCCACTCTTTTATCAAAGCGTCGTCAGTCCACCCCCTGGTCACAAACCGTCTGCTTGTGTTTCGAAATTCCAAACCGATTCCGACGAACTTCAACCGGTCGATGCTCATGAGGTGCCACACGAACCGGGAATGAATCTCAGCAAGTCGCTCATGAATTTATCGGACGGATTCGACGATACCTGCGTTCCTTACCGTAGTTCGAAATCAGTAACGGTTTCTCAGCAGGTAAGTGACAATCGTTTCGAATGCATTTTTAGTGCACACGAACTCCGTTAAGGTTATTCCTCTGTGCATCCTTCAGAATGTTGTAAACTGCGTGGTGAACAGTGTATAATTTGGCAGAATGATGTGAAAGAAATTATGAAGAATTATTAGTGCGGTCCGTGTCTCAAAATGGGCTCCCCGTGTCCCCTCCCCCCCGCTGCGGTAGAAGACATTTTGAGGAATGACGGCTGATTAGTATCAGTGGCGTTCGTGCTATCAGTTTCCAGATTATTCGATGGAGCGTTTGGCGGTATAGGCACCTTAAACTGCCTGCGGTAATTTAACACCAGGTTTCTTCCTCAACCACTCATTTCTCTTTTTCCCATTTATTGAATTTTGTGGTTGTAAGTCTGTGAGACTCACTTTGATTTTTTTCTCAACTCCTCGTTGGAAACTGTCACTATAAAAGTCGCCTCTATGCTCAAAAGTTCGTTTTAGCCTCGTGTTACTTCTCAAATCATCATCAATGTTAAATGTGTAACTATCCCCCCTCCTAAGTATCACCCTAAAAGGCATTTAGCTAGAGAAAACATGTGGTCTGATTGTCAAACTTTTCGGTCTCTTTAACTTCCCGTCAGGTTCACTTCTTTTGTATTGTTCCACTACAGCAACCTTTGTTAAAGGACATTTTCTACATGTGGCTGATCAGAATCATTGCAGCCACACAGCGCTCTCTCGCTTGTAACATCAGACATCATTGTCCATCTGTGTGGATTCGCGTTTGTTGGAAGCTGCAACACTAGTTATCTGGTTAACTTAGCAAACACTCCTGGGACCAGTGATTGGTTCTGTTTTAATTCACGTGAGTGGCCCAGTGGTTAAGTTGCGACTTCCTGACCAGAAATTCCGTGGTTCAAATCCAGCCCCCACCATCTTCCAGGGTTCGTGAACAAGCTTCGCGATTTTGATTAATCTCCTCTTTGGTGTTCGAGTTCGCCAAGTGCAGCATTCGTTGCAGAGTTTTTCCGATGTAATCACAACAACAACACAAACACTGTGATCAATAAAAAACCGCTTTTTATTCTGCCCGAAGCGAAGGAAAATAATGAATCGCCAGCTCCTGTCCGGTATAGGTTGATCGTCAGTACAACCAAGGTAGTTGGAAACATCAAAATGATGTAGAGGTGGGTTAGCAATAAACCAATATAAAGGTCGAACGATGCTACAACACTACCAACTCAAATTTCAATGAACTGCAAAGGACACTGATTCGACGGTCCTGCATCCCTTTCAACTGAACGAAATTGAGCCAACCGTAAAAGTTTTTCTTATTCAATCACTTTCCTAATCCTCAATGAGTGCAGTCGTTGAACATTTTATTAGTCCCTTCTTCATCAACTGTGAGCTGGTTTATTAGCACATACGATTTATCAGCTAAATAACTTTCACATTAACGCGATCTGCTTTTTACTGTACACCATCAGGCTTCCCGCAGTGTGTTCATGCTGATGGGTATTTGTGGTTGCGTGCGGTATTTGGGACAGAATGTTTCCTATGCTGAGTTTCTGCAGTATATCACGACGCGAAAGTCTTTGTGTCTTCTCATAATTTCTGTTTGAGGCTCGTCGTTAAAGATAATTTGTTGCGCCAACGATACATGAATTGATTCTTGAGCGTTGTGTGTCACATTTCGATCACTGGGAAACAACTTAACGTTTTCTCGCGGAGTTTTGTTGCTCACTATTTCACAGACCTCGGACAACCCTTACCAAGAGCTGAATGATCAGGGAACATTTGTCAATTAGTACCGACAATGAAACAGTCAACATTCTACGCGCTGCTCCGATCAGTGAAGTTCGTGTTCGGCTTTGTTTTGCTGGGTTCGAGGAAGCTACATGTGGATGTTTATTTTTTTACTGGTGTTGAGTCCTGTCCAGAGAACAGACAGAGGGCCACAAGCTACTCTTCGGTCACGTCAAAATATGCCATAGCACCTTACCAGGATACGCTACATAGAAACTCTAGTCATTCATTTACAATCCGCATTTTCCAGACAAATTGACAGTTGGCATCCACCTGTTGTGCAGACAGGACTGTTCAACAGTTAAGAGAGATTATGCAATGGAGATTCCGCAGCACAAACAAGACACATCGAAACACGAACTTGATTGACAGCAGTGACAGCACGTAGACTGATGGTCATTTCGCCATTGGCACCCATTGCCGCATGTTTCCCTGCTTGTGTGATTTCGATTATTATTTTGAATCTGATGAAGGTCGCCCGAGGTGTCTGAAACGGTGCATAGTAGAGCTTCACTCTATTCCAAAACAGTTCGTTAATTCGCAGGCTGATCTAGACAGCCGAGCAGACAGACATGGATGAGCCAGCCTTAGTTGGTATACTTCAGTCCTAAAAACGGGATTTTATTCAGTATAGATTAAACATAAGTTGTCTACCGTAAGAGCAAATTCGGAGCGTTAAAGCTAACAAATTTACATTGGGTACGCGGTGATCCTCACTACGTAGCTCGACCTTTTCACCGAATTAATTACGCTTCATTAAAGAAAAGAAGGAAACTGGGGCGCGGAAGACCATCAGTGTTGGCTTCCACGATCCCATGTTGCGGTAAACACTCATTTGCAAATTATTGTGATGTTGACTGGAAACGTAGCTGAATTTCATCTGAATTTCTCGTTTGTAATCCTATTATAGTGAACGTTTGTCGCAAAATACATTAAACTTGGTATTCTTTCATTAGAAAAGATCGTTCAGCTGTAGCACCCCTCCGGTGTCTGGCTGCCACGCCATCCGAAGGAAGCACAAGGGCTGGGATGCCGCCAGGTTACCCATGCCTAGAGAGGGGAGCTCGAGGGGTAGAGGTCGGGTTCGAATCTTAGACCTACCGGTCAGTAAATTCGCTATCTAACCATTAGAGCCATTTCGCCCCCTAGTCTTTTATTGATGGTGTCGACACTTTTTTCCACGACTAAAAATCGTCGTTAGCCTGCCTCGGCTCGTTGTTCTGCATATTTTCTCTCCTGTTTATTAGCGAGGCTGTCGGTATTGCGATAATAATCCTATGACATCTGTGTGTTGGAAAATCACCCAGCACATTCACTCAGTGACACTGACTGTACAGATGATATAACCATTCCTGTGTAGGACTATACATAAATAGAAATCTTGAATGGATAGCAGGCAGTTTTGCTCAGACTCCCGGTGGATGATACCAAATACTGTTTTTATCTATTATGCCAAGTGATGGTTCTCGGGCTGGATGCGTGATTCTCAGGATTCAGTGAGTACAGACCGTGTTCACGTATTCTGCCCGACAAACGTTCCGCTGTGCGGGCAAAGTTCCGTACTGGGTACCAGTGTGCAAACAAATGCATGCAAAACCTGTCCTTCACCTTTGACAATTTGCCTTTTGTTTGCGCTCTATGAAGTGAGAAGTGAATGTTGAACAGTGAGTATGCACCATAAATATAGACATTAGGCATTTTGATTCTTTTTGGAAATAAACCCAGCAGTTGTTTCTTATAGGAAGTGACGACGTGGGTTTACTTCCTGCTTACCGAGTAAACTGTCTGCTTTTGTTTAGCACGTCCCATCGTTCTAAGTGTGAGCCTCCTCGAACAACCCCTTTTGCGTAGATACTTATCTCGTATACTCTAGTTCTCGTTGGTTGCTTATCCAGTCAGGTGTGATGACACTTCTTTTCGATTTCAAGGGTGAAATACGGATATGTATGTACTGAAAGGTGTCTTAGATAATTCTGTTGCCATTTCACCCACTCTTCAAATTGAACGGCTGCACAGGTTATCGGACTATGGCGCTTTCTTGGTGAACCAGTTCCGACGAACTCATGGCCCTAATTTGAGTCACTGAAGTCGGGCTACTTCTGTCTCGCAGTCTAGATTGCAAATGCAAATTTAAGCTTTCAGCTTGAAGTGGGTTAAAATGCGGCCTCGAAATTTCGGTTACATCCATATTGCTTTCATCACAATCATTAATTGGCTCATCACATGCGACATGTGGTAAACTAGAGTGAATCTTGCTATAAAAAATTTAAATGAGCTCTGTGTGGATATCTCTGTTCGAAAGAAAAGGCTATTTTTAGACAGAAGAGAGAGTAGACAGTGGTGTCTGGAAAGGGAGGAAACGAACAAAAATTAGTGTTCATTTTGACGTGTACCTGCCATTAGAAAGCCACTACAGTCAACTGCACAACTTCAGATAACTAAGCATGTTCAGGTTTCAAATTTTGGTAGCAGATATTCCCCTCGGCCGCACAAAGTATACCTGTATATACTATTCTGTCGCCGAAAACGCTTTAAATAAGGTGAACAAAACTCTCTGTTCCACTGAAGCTGGTTGTAACTGAAAAAAACGGGCGTCAAAACAGCTTAGGTAATATCCAATACTCAGTGCGGGTCGCGACTATCGAATATCTCATAAGTGGTTTGAGTAAATCAGGCCGCTCATGTTTGATAGATTCGGAAAAAAGCAACCCTTGTGCCTGTTTTCCTGGAATACCTGCGTAAGTAGCACGTGTTCCTCTTACCCAGCGGGATAGAACTTACATATGTTGTCTTCGGCCCTGCACTTAACCCCAAGAATGCAACATGTAGATGGACCATTGCACAGGAGAGATAATACATGAAGTATTGTTCGAACGACTCTCTTCTTAGATTTTTCAGGATGATGGAATCTGGTGCATTAATGACGCAAATCGTCACGATACTTTGGTAGGCAAAAAAATCTCCAGAATTTTCCCCTGATCACTCCATTCCATCTACTGTTCCCAATCTGTTTGACCATATTGCTCTTTATCCTGCTCGTTTTCAACCCTAATTCCTCTTGGACTACCCTTGGGCACATGGCTTTCACCCAGGACGTTTTTTTCCACTCCACGAACCGGTTGGAAACAACTTCCAGATGCCTCCCATCAACCTAAAATTCACCGTGCATCTGATACTTGCGTTTAGCGTGACGCCGTCTGAAACTTCTATGTCATGTCCAACCAGCTGTCTGTCTTATCCGTCGTCGCCACCTAGTACTTATCTACAATCTATGTCATTCCTCTTATCAATCAACAGTGGCTTGCACTGCTCTTTTTAGTAGCCATTTTAAGGTCCGTAGAACGTAAAGAGAGAGACTAGGCAGATTTTTATATGATACCCTAGCATACGTAGTACGGGCGAGAGGACAAGCCGTTGACCTCCTACCCTCCGGAAGATTGTTCTACCGACTAAGCTACTGAGAATGCTCGGTGTCCGTCACACTCGTGCACAGGGGTCTATCATTTTGTGATCTACAAAGCCCATCTACTTTTTAAGTGGCTGCACCAATGGGCTTTGAGTATCTGGAAGATATAACTGTTTCGTCCACTGTGGAATTAACGCGAGGGGCTCAGTATTGCTGGCGGGAAATATCAGCTGTTATTCCATTGTGTCAAATTACCTGTATAGTTCAGATTAATAGTGACAGGGGTGCTCGGTGGCCCAAGTCCGCTCAAAGGATTTCCTTAATTCACTCACGCGGTTCAATTTTCAGAGGCCATCCAGCGTGAAATACCCCCTACCAATGTCTTGTTTAAATTGTTTTGATTTTTGTTTATCTGGAACCAGAGTTCTATTTTCTTTCGATTCGACACGGGTTCATTTTCTGCGTGCAACTCACTGCCATTCAGGTACCGGTGATAGATTTCACTACAGTACTTCCTACGGAAGCACTCTGTTTTTACGTAGAGATTTTGCTTATTACATTCAAATTTGTTGTTTGTCCAGCTGCTTTCTAAACTTTGAATAACTTAAAAGCCAACGTTTGAAGTTACCTATTCCTATCTCGGTCCTACCGTGTCTCAATCACAATGGCTAGACTTTACCTTTGTTGTTTTGTTTTACAGAATACTTCAGTGAACAATGGTTCCTGTAAGTTACCACGTTTTATTTAATTTTTATCCGTGGTATTGGTTGTTCTAACGAAAACGGGTGTGCAATTAATGCTTCTGTTGTCGATTGTTAAAACGTCCCAACACCATTGCGAGCTTCCTATGGTGATAGATCCTTGAAAGAAGTGCGCCTTGTTCAAACGGGTGTGGTTACATTGATTAGATGTATGGTTGCGCAGCTGCTGTGAACAGTGCTCACTGTATTCTCATCAGTTGCTGGAGCTTTGTATACGAGGGTTGAAAACTCACTCACGCGAGCTCAGACTGGTATGTCTGTTTGCTGAACCAGTACGTGGCTGCAGTCATGGCACGTGTAATGGAGTGAACGTTAACCCATGATAAGCGAATCGTCCTATTCATCGATGCGAATTCCAATCTGATACTTCTCAAATTACTTTCTTGGCGTTCGAGAGAAACATTCTATTGCGGAGCCATGTACTAATCATGGCACGGCCTACTTTTATACACCTATAGACAAGAGTCAAAGCTGTACATCTACCGAGGAACGCTAGACCATCAAGTGTACTATCCCTTCTTTATCAAACTAAGCACTCTGCTCATAAACAATGGTGGCAAACTTCTGAGACGTCATCCAAGTGCTTTCAGAAGAATGTGTGGAAATTCACCTGTACCCTTGCCACGACACCGCAAACTTTTTGGTTTTTATGGGTTCCATCAGAAAGAGTTTGAAATGGATTTGCATTACAGTCACATTGGATACATTTCAGAAGTAGGAATGACTGTAACGACCGTTATTGGAGGGGTAGCGAAACACCGCAAAGCATGGGACAGCCGACCGCTTTCATCTTTATTGTGATCTCTCAATCCCTTTGTCCTACTCGACAATCTCTCGCATCTAGATCACAGCGGTAGCCATGTCAATTATACGCCTAGAGAATTGATACATTGTACGTCACTACTCACATCTTCCACACCACGTCCGCTGTTCACGTCCCGTTCTCATATTTTTTTGCAACCCCTAACGTGAGAACCCTTGGGCAGGTCGGCTATCAACGTCCTGTCGCTCGTATTCTCGTCGCAGTTTAGCAAGACAGTATATTACTGGCATATTACTGTCAATAACGGTGATAGAAAGGTCACAATTGAGTAACAGATTCGGAGTCGGTGCCCACCGTGCGGATAATAGAGAGCGATTTCTTCAACTGTGCTGAGTATCGTGTATCTGGTCAGTACCAACTTCCAGCACAATCGCTCGCACTAAGTAACCGCAAGCCAGTCCTGGACTCAGGTTGGTCATGTTGCTGTAAGTTACCGATTAAGAGCTCTGAAGATTGCCATTCCTTTTGGACTGCGCAACTTGGATCCAGTCGTACCATTGTGTGGAGTCCGTTGGTAATTCATTCTCCCTCAGGATTGGGCACGACTAAGCAGGGTAATTCCTTTCATCTCCTTCAATGGTTCCACAGTACCGACTTGAACAGGCTGGAAAACTACCGGAAGCACAAAGTCACGTTGGATTTCGGGATCATAGACTTTTAATCCGTCGAAATTCCTTTTCGGCTGCTAGGATGCGTACGTGACTGAAGCTGCCCAATTGAGTGGGTGTCTCAGAAGCTTGGCCCTTGTCGCTTCCAAGCTGATTTCGGGTCACAGTCTGTCGGATGTTTGATGTTTTTGACAAATGCGCATTTCTTTTGAATCGAGATGGATGTCGATGGATCATCCTTGTCAAACCAATCTCATCTTTGTCCATGTGTACATCTATATACTTCTTGTATGTGTTCGTCTTCGAGACCACTGACTTATAGGGTAGGCTCGAAAACTGGTCATCCACCAGTCTTTCCCATAGTGCTTCGCGAAATTTCGTCGCGTTTTCCTCGTTCTCCAGTTTTCTCATATCCCTTCTGGTCCATGACACATCAGTTTTCCATTTGCAACACTTACCTAGTTGTTGTGTACTACACTCCAAATGCATGTTTATTTTTTTTGCAGCACCCATCTCATCGGTTCCACACAGAAAGGAATCCCCTTACGTTGGTAGCAATGAAGATACCTTCACCGCTCATAGTCGTCAACGCGCGAAGTTTCTACGGCTTTTTATTCAGCGTGCAAGCCTTAGCCAAAATCATCACCGCAACTCGCAATCTGGTCCTAGCCACTTACCAAAGTTCCATCGCCTTTCTACGACAGGCCAGCTTTCGCGTTCCACCAATGTACTGAATCTAAACAATGCCTATTCTGAGTTCGACTTGGCGATAAACCAAGAAGTCTCAGATGTTCGTAATGAAACAGAGGACTTGTCTGCAAACCAGTGTGAGCCGAACGGGCTTCCTGACTCTCAACCAGACGGGGTTCGCAGGTACTGCGCATGTTATTCTTCGCCTATGACAGCTACCTTCCGTTCAGTTGTTTATACATGTCTGGCGTCTAGATTAAGCCTATCCTCCTTGTTTCGAACTTATCGAATACATAAACACTGGTCCTTACGCCAGCATCAAAGGTCATCTACCACCCCTTGAAAGACTAATAATCTAATACGTGTGAAGCTCATTAGGCTAGACAGACTCGAGTGTCACCACTCCTATAGCGTAGTCAGTGGGTTGGATTAGTCTGTTTTGTGTCAGTTTCCAGGATCATGACAGTTAGCCCTATATTGTGCATAGTCATGTGACCTCAGTCTGATTAGTAGCAACCAATGTTGAATAGTTCTCACATGATTTTCTTACCACAGCCTCTAGTGTGTAGACTTAGTGGATAAATGTGGTGTCAAACAATGCCCACGGTGTTGGCAGTTCACCCTTCCGTTAGCCGGGAAGCACGATTTCCAATCCCACATCTGACAGCTTATCTCCCCTTGCACACTATATACTCTTCGGCCTCCCATTCAGGATAGACCAATGTCATTCTCTCACACCGATTTTGGAAGGCAATCATATTCGAAGGTTGCTACGACTTGAGACAAAACATTTGCATCGGTCTGATATTAGAAGAAAAGTCGTTCGGTGCTGGCGAGTGAAGTGCCCTCATGCTTCCTTCGGGCGACATGGCAGCTATGTGCCGAACGTTGATTCTTCTCTTCTATTCATAATTTGTACAACTTGATTCCTCATTTTCATTATTGGTTTTGCACCTGTATCATCCTTCTTGTTTTTGACCTGAACATACACCGCTCTTTGACCTTATCACCTCACTTGTTTTATTCAACACGTGATTTCGCTACCTTCTAGCCACGTTGCCTTGAGTCAGTGTGAACTTTGGGATCCGTTAGGAATTAGCGGTTCTTAAACTGGGGCACACAAGCCCAACATATTTGTAGATAAACCTTCATTTGAACGATTTGGCTTTCGGGGTTTTGCGCGCAACTCAACGTATTCCAATCGATTTCAGGAAACAATCAATACCACAAGAGTCCCAGCGGAGCGATTATTTATTGCCATTATTATTTAACAGACGTTGGGCGATGGTCTTCTCCCTAGCTACACAGCTTACGTGCTCTCCTGATATTTCCAGAAGTCTCGATTGGGTCATGCGGCGCAATCACTCACGGTTTTCATGGAAAATTTTGTAATGTAGAAATGGATTCTATTGTTCCGTAACTCAGTGGAAGAAAGTCGGTCAATCATTCCGTGACGGCCACTGGACTGGAGTAACTGATTTTCTTTAATCCTTGATCTACTCACAGGTTCTGTAGACGCTCCAGGGGTTTCTGTGAACGTAATAGTTCGTTGGACACCCTGAAAAGTAACAGTTTTACAAACCAAAGTTGACTGATGTTCCGGTGGACAGGTTGCCAGCAAGCTGGTTGTTTGCAGGAACCGGTATAATGCGTTTCCTTTCCGTCTCTAATCTTTCGACAGATCATAGAACTAGGTAGTTCAGTGGTTTTTCACATGGTTAGTTCCTATCTTCCCAAATGTGTATTACTTCCAGCGTGACCCATCAATAACAAACGCCAACCTCCGTCTTTGTTCCCTACGTCCACGAATCTCGTATTTTACTCTGGGTTGTTCAGCTTTGTTGCAATTATTAAACTTTCGTGAGTTTGATTTTGATTGCATCTTACTTTCATACGCAGCAAGCCGACGACAACACATACTAAGCACCCCACATTTGCGTCGGTTTCAAAGAAAGTATACCACTTGCCAAATCACTATCGGGTGTCCGGTGGTAAACTCCGAGTGCCTTCAAGTTTCTCCCGTGTGAGTTTTGTCAAATTGTTTGTATTAATATGTACATGCTGCTGGGTTCCATGCGAGTCTCCCACTGATTCCGTGTTATTTAGGTCCAAGTAAAACATAAGGCTGACGGAAACTCGGGGACTGCGCCTATATGATGAGCCCCAAGGAGGCGAAACCAGTCGTCGGTTGTCAGTTAGTTTCCAGCACCCTTATGAGTAGTATATTATGTCTATACAATGTATCGTGATATCTCGAATATCATACCGACTGAAATACGAGTCGATATGGTGCAGCACATTCAGTTGCTTAAAAGCATCATAAGCGAGAGATTCAACTGGGTTCCAGGTGGGTCTCCCGACAAAACCAAATCGGCATACGAATGCGTGTATTACTCTAGTCCCCGATGTAGTTTACGTCTTGCAACTCTGAATTAAGGCTCTTTTTCTGACTAATTTAAAACCTCCTTGATAATCGTCCACTTCCCCCAGTGCATACATCGTCATTTGTTCGGTTCTTTTTCCAGCAGCAAAAACATCAGGGTTTGTCGGTTGAATTTTATTTAGCATGAGTGATTCTCCTTAGCCAGGGTGCCGTTACCTTAAGCAGTATTTCAAAGGTGTCTTTGTGTGTGATTTCCATCTTTCTTCATGAATCTCAATGGTTTCTCCTGACTTTGATCTGAGTCACCGAGTTAATTTGATCTTAATACTTGCAAAGCAGTCAGTGTATCGTTTCGCATAGAAAGCAAACATTGTGGGCCAAAATTCTAGTAGCTGACATCATAGGAGTGCATTTCTTGATCATCAGTCAGACTAACAAAAAGTAGGGGCTCACCCGAAAGGCCATCACTGAAATGTACCTTTTTTCCATCGCCGCTGGCTTTAAATCTTGGTTGATAGCTCTGCTGAAAGTTTGTTTATATATGCCATTTGAGACAGCCTTCGCGTCCAAATGAAATCACACCAAAGGAAATTTTGCCCAAGAATAGCTCTTATTGGTACTTCTTCTAAATACCCACTGTATGCCCTATCACAGTTCAAACTCCAGTCAACTGGAACGCGGGCTGTGCCCTACCTACACTCTTCGTATCCAAGAGAGTTCATAAATCAGTGTGAACTATTAAGGTTGATTGGCGTCGTGGAGCTTCTGCTTCATCAAAAAACCAAGAGAACCTCCAATTAAACCTAATCGCTGAACCTTATATTCACGTCGATCCAGTATTCACGAAATGTATTGGAACGCACTAACAACTTCCAAGCACGACCTATTTCGCGCATCATTAGATTTAGTTAGAAAGTATTCTTGATTTCTTATGATATCGATTGGCTAGGGCTTATTTCATACGTTTGTGTTCTGACCAAAGCCACAACTGTATGACTTTTTGAGAAAAGCTATTTTGCGGTTTGTCCGTTTTGGCACACAAATTTAGCTTAGGACAGACCACTGATGGGCGAACCCAAGTAAGCCCTATGATAGACAGTCAGCTAAATCTGGACACAAAAAATTCCTTTTTAACTGTAACTACTATAAGACCCAGGTAGGGGTGTGTCAAAGCTCATGTCGTATACTGGGTTGGTATGTATTCTAAACCGCCGGATTTTTTCTACTGGTATTTTTCAGTCACGTTTACCCAACTCGATTTCTGCATACCAGTTGCAGTTACCTCCACATTTTTGATACTTTACAGGGTCAGACAGCATCCGAGACTGAGTTCGATCGACTAAATAGTGATGTTGGTAGCGACATAGATTCGTCTTCAGGTCCAGACGACGTGGAACCCATTACAACAGCTAGCCCGTGTGCTGTAGGATCGGCTGTCTGGTTCGCTGATGCCAACGACCGATCCCAACGCCCAATCAACTTGGGCCCCGATCACTATACCAGTTGGTCTTCGATACCCAAGCCGCGTCCTGTGCGGCGAACCAGACATCCGTCCGGTGCGGTGAACAAGTGGCTGTATAATAGCCGTATACCAAAACCTCATTTGCCCCCTAAGGATATTGGTGAATCAGGCGAATCCGGCTCTGGTGAATCTGGCGCCCGAGATGTTTGGGTCGAGCAAGATCGGATTACTGACTCGGCAGAGTCCTTGGAACGCCTACCTCAACCTGGTAATTCACTCTCAAATGCGGAAGAAAATCCTCGGTTTACACACGGAGGCCAAGCGATAATCTCCCGGATAGATGAGCTGCCTGACGAGAGTCTCTTCACTGGTGCGCAATCCACGTTCCCAGGGCCTCCCAGGGCTCCTTTAGAAACTATACGGGACAAATTTACTTACAAATCTTCCGTAAGTTCTAACTTCTTCGATGCTTTTCCAGTATTGCCCCAGCTTTCTTTTTCTTTGGCCTAAAAAAGTTACTTGCTGTTTTGTAATTTTAGATGACCAAAACGTTTTCCAGTCAATGGTCTCCACGACCCCATATGTGCAAGGATACAAGTAAGAGATGCTTGCGTACCTATTTCCTTTAGTTATTTTTTTCGCACATGAGCCTTCGGAAATGTAGTCTGCATTCACAGAAAATCGTTGTGTGGAGACTATTCGTGCTGAATTGTCTGCGTTTAGGATAATGGGTAGTGCCTATTGAATGCCACTCCGGATGTCAGTTCATGGTCCTTCCCATAGTCACCAAACACGCATCCTTGCTCTCATTATTGGTCTGTGTGGCCGCGCTTTATCTACCGCATTTGGAATGACGACGTCGTATGAGTTATATCGACGTGCAATACTGTACGGTTGTTAAGTTTATCATTCAACTTCACACTCCATTTCTGTCTCACATAGGCCTGAGACGTTTTTTTACAAAAGTTTCGATCGGTTTTATTTCCTCAAGGAAGCTTCACTACTGACACCAATTCTGAAAACCCCACAGCCTCGATTTTTTCTGGAAAAGTGTCATTTGGCCCCCAATTAAACTGCTATTTTCGAGAATAATACGTGGCTGTATCACTGGCATCTGTACTGAATTGATCGTTCGCACTTCGATTTTCGACCTACATACTTCTTGTTCCCACTACCATCACTTTGACGACGGAATAGTTTTCCGTCAATTATTTTTTAATCTCACCCATCTTGCTTCTTCAGACTGTTCTGCAGTATTACTATTGTTTCTGTTGGCTTCATGAGGTACCAAAGTTAATCTCTTTCAGAGTTGGATGTCGATACTGTTGCTCGCGATCTCGTCACTTGCGTCGTTGATCTCGATTGTTAGAACCTGAAACCCACCAGAGTTTGCAACGTATGCGTTGGCAGACTAGAGTATAAGGTACTACAAGAAATCGGCTCGCCATGGGTTTAATTCCTCTTCCACACCGAAAGCTAACGCATTCAGACTCTTTGTTAGGGTTCTGGGGATATATGGGTCGTCCAGATGTTTGCTTCGGCTGACATTTGAACTCCTCCCCCATTCTCTTTTCTCTAAATGTACTGGCATTGCTCCACAGCAGTAAAGTGGTGGCAAGCTATCGGTCGTGTTGCTGCTCTTGTCGTCATTCGTTCGATTCTTGTATGTTGCGTGCATGTAACGTCTGATTGGACTTACCATACAAGTCCCACACGGTGCCTTGTAACACGTTCCCTTGTTCGAACCACATTTTAGTCACTCGAGTTGTTAATTTTACTCATCTCTTTGGTTTGCTGGTAGATGAACTCTTCTCACGAATCCACTGTCTTTTTTGTGGCCCGTACGGTTTCTGCTGCAACTACTCCATTTACTCTTGTTTATTTGGGCTTTTTCCCGAGTCTATCCCATTTCAAAGTAATGTAGTGCCAGTAGGAAATTCGATAGTACCCTAATATTGGATCTTTAGTTTCTCAAAAGCCTTAGCGTAAGCAGTTTCCTGTTTGCTGGTGGTAGCGTGACCCATGGTCAGGTGATTGTTTCCTCGCGATTTTTACTTTCCACCTTAAGTTAGGGAATTTCGAATCTTAAGCCACGCCTATACAGGATAGATCGGTTGCATTGGGCAACTTCCCCAGTGCTTCACATGACCAGTGTTTGCCTAGTTTCTCGGTCTTTTTCAAGGGCACCGCTTTGCGCAATGTGGAATTGATTCACTACTGTTCACCAATCGGTTTTCCGACGATCGTTACGTTCAG